CCCGCGGCGCGGAGGTTGAGCCCCCCCCTCCCCCAATCGCCACCGCGCCGACGGCTCCGTCGGCCCTGCGCGCCCCCTGCCCGGGGGAGGGGGGGCCCTGGCCCTCTTTCGGCTGCCTGGTGATTAGAGCGAGGGTGGTTGTCAGGCTTCGGGTGGATGCTCGCAGCTGGGCCTGGGCCTGTGCTCCGAATAAAAAGGAGATGGCAGCTTCACTTCCAGCGATGCTTGTACAGGCTTTCCACGGAGCTGGGGGGGTGTAGGTTTAACTGGGCTGGTGTAACTACAGTTAGGGTGATTTTTCTGTCGCTAGGCTTACAGTACGCCTCTTGTGGTGCTTCTGTCTTGTATGCCTTCCGAGTGGTGTGGCGTCTGTCGTATGTGGCACGCTCTCAGTATGGGAGAACTGCCTGTGAAGCATGGCTTTAATTTGTTTCAGTCTCACAAATCTTTTTCCTCTCATATATGTAGAGATGACTAGGGAGCACAAAGAAACATGTCCATATGGTTAAGGTTTCATAGGCACGAAAACTAGTCAGTTCATAAATATAGTAGTCACATAAATTCTGGCTTACTTACCTTTCATTCCTAGTGACAGTTGCAGTTCTGTGGATTTTTTTTTTTTTTGTTAGTAGTAATAATTTGCTAAAGTTCGTTGTACTCTTCTGAATTTTTTGAAGTATTTAGAAGCTATGAAATATTACAGAGAACCTAGAAGCATCAGCCAGTTTTGGGACATCCTCTTTTAAGGAGCGTGCTTGAAATAAACGTGAAGCCACTGATGCAGTGAGCACACTGTTGACTTAACTGGGAAAGCTGCGTGAGATGCTGAGCTCCAAAACGCTTACTTTAATTAATACAAGTGGGATAGTGTTACGTTATGTTAAATATGTACTGTCTTACTCCGTTCTTCTGTATCCTTTGGGGGCCCCCTAACTGTTGCCGGTAGCAGCTTTTTGTGTGATGGGTTTTCTGATCCCCCTCCCAACGTTAAGAGCATTCCTTGGAAGCTCTATCAGTTTGTGTGTAATGACACGAAAAGAACTAGAAGGAAGAAAAGTATTGAAGGAGGGTAAATGGTTTCTTAATAAACTTCACGTACAGAAGTATGTCCTTACTATACTCTTTCATACGTACATAAGAATAACGTTGTTTTCCATAAGTGTTCATGGATTGAAATCATTATGAGAAAATGGAATGCTAATTCTAAAAAAAAAATTTTCAGGTCAAACTTCCATGTTTAAAGTGTGGGTGGCCTTTTTTGTGAGGTTTTGTTTTAAATAGAATGTTAATTATACAGGATAAATAAATTCATTTTTTTCAAATGCATGATGCATGAAAAAGGTTTATAAGATCATTTTGATCAGAAATAAAATAGTTTAAAGTGACCAAAATAGATAACTGACTACTGTCTCTGTTTTTCACTCAGCCTTCTAGCAGTGGCCGAGCTGCGGAGCTCCTTGCCAAAGAACGTGGAACGGTGCCTGGCTTTATTGGCTTTGGAACCTCTCAGAGTGATCTAGGATACGTTCCTGCAGTTCAAGGGGCTGAGGAAATAGACAGCCTTGTGGATGCTGATTTTCGAATGGTGTTGCGAAAACTCTCTAAAAGGGATATCATAACAAAATTAAAAGTATGTGTATCCTTTATCCCCTGCAGAATTTTTTTATGGGAAGAGCAGTACCCTTTTCTTAAGGGTGAGAGAGGAATCTGCCAAGGTAGCCAGTTCATTTCCATAAATTTCCGAGACCATACCATCGTTTTTTCCCCGTACTCTTTTACATGTCACGTAAACTACGTTTGGATGTATGCAATCCAGAGGGTATCTTGGAGGACTTCTAAAAAGTTCCCTCAGGCAAGGTGTTCATAAAAATATCTCAAATCATGTGTTGCTTCTTGCTCACCTGGAAGCAATGAATTCATTTGTTGAAAATGAGAATTACAGGATCTAGTAGCAGATGGTAAGTTAAAGAAAGTATCTACCTGATGTTTCTTAACTATGTTGTTGTTTTTTGGTTTTAGGCTATGCAAGAGTTTGGGATGATGTGCAAGGAAAGAGAAGCAGAAGTTGTTAAAGGTGTTCTTCCTTACTGGCCAAGAATTTATTGTAAAATATCACTAGTAAGTATTAAAATGTCTAAGTTCAAAGCTTCTCTGGATACTCTCTGTGAAAATTGTTAAGGCAGTCATATTGATATATTTAACTCTGTGTTTTTTTTTGAATTTCCTGGCTCGTTCTAGGATTATGTTGACAGAAGATAGTGTTCCTTGTGGTTGATATATTTCAGTATTTGCCGTGGGTAAAACCCTCAATTGTTGATGGCCTGAGCTGTATTTTTGGGATGGGGATAGCTGTTTGTTGGAACTCTGTTAAAAGGACGATAGAACTCCTTCAACAGAATAAATCTCTCTCTCTCTTTTTTTTTTTTCCTTTTTACTGTAGAGAGCAGAAGAGAAAAAGAGAATGTGCTGTTTAGTCAAGATAACTATAAGTCTTCTTGAACTAGGACTAATAACGGACCAGCCTGACTATTTAAAAAAAAAAAAAAAAAAGCATATGTAGCCAGCTAATCCATAGTATTCTGATACAGTATTTTAACACATACCCAAAGTGTCTCAACAGGCTACTGCTGAAAACAGGATATTGGACAAAATGAATCACTATTCTGATCCATTAGAGCAATTCCCAAAACATTTTTTAGGAGCCAGGAGCGCAGAAAGTCATGACGCTGTAAATTTGTACACAAATAATTGAAAGTTGCAAATAAATAATGCACGATTTGTGTGGGCTTCTGGATATCTTAATGCAAAAAATGTCTTACCTGAAGGCTACCTCTCTCCCTTTCTCTCTTTTCTCCTGTCTTTTCAATGTTTGTGTAAAATGGACATAACAATTGTAGTTAGGGGTATTGGGAAAGGGTTACAATTTTGGATGTACAACACATCTGGAGTATGCTGGTGCTAGTTTAGGACCCTCCCCTGTATCTGGGGATGCCACTGAAAAAGACTTGTTTTTATTTTTCTGCGTATTTTCAAATCTGCGTAGCCTAATTCATTGCAAAAATGCCTGCCCTAAAGAGAAAAGCTCTCTCTTAGGTGGAAGAAATTGGGACATAAGATTATACTAGAAGAATTTTTGCTTTGAAGTACTTGGCATCAAAAAATACACTTCTTAAAACAATAAAACCTTTTTTTTTTAAACAGGATCACGATCGCCGTGTTAGAGAAGCAACTCAGCAATCTTTTGAGCAACTGATTCTTAAAGTAAAGAAACACTTGGCTCCTTACTTAAAAAGTATCATGGGATACTGGCTGATTGCTCAGTGTGACACTTACTCCCCTGCCGCTTCTGCAGCAAAAGTAGCTTTTGAAAAAGCTTTTCCTTCAACCAAGCAACCTGAAGCTTTAGCGTTCTGTAAAGATGAAATTCTTAATGTGAGTTTATACCGTAGTAGTTTTATAAGGCTTTGTGTGAGTATACGTCACCTTTTAATACACGTTTAAAGATTCATTCTGTCCCCATCCCTTTCCTA